TAATTGAAAATAAAGAAATCTATATCTATATAAATCACTCGTCACTCGAATTGCCAAAGAGTTGAAATTACGAAAAATTTATACTTCCATATATAAAACGATCCATATTCCGTACAAGGGCAGAATAAATATTCATTCTGCCAATATTCTGAAATATCATCCAGTGATTCTGGAAAGAGTCTAAATTTTCCCTTTAAAATTTCTATTTATCACGAACAACTCCCCCTTCCCCGAGTTCGATCGATCTTTGCCATCTATCATCGAAGTAACACGTCATTAGCGATCATCGATCCCTATACTGGATCCCTATACAACCGAAAGTATATCATCTTTTGCGTCTATCTGGACGAGCGAGATAAATCAACATTCGCGTGTGGAAAATAAGAAAAAATGGCCACCTTGTTATCGAGCAATGGGGGATGGGTGTGCGAATAGGCCAGACCTTGACGACGAAGGGGAGGCGAAGTGGAGGGACAAAGGGGAGGGAAGATACATAGAGCTCTCGCGCGGTCCATTCGCCACGACTCGTACACCTACCTATGGGACAAATAACCGTATAAATTTTGCCGTGGGACGCGTCCCCTTATATTACATGGAAATGCGCCAAGAGAGGAGCTCGAACTCGGAATAAACGTGCCGACTCCTTTCGTTCATCGCCACTACGGACTACGCTCGATCGATTGGGCCGCCACTTGGCAATGCGTATTCGTTGTTTCAATCGATACCGCCATTTTTCGAATCTATTTCAAAATTCCCCGTTTGGCTCAAGGCGACAGCGTCTTATTATTTCTCCCGTGCCGCTTACTTTTTCCTTACGAAGATGATAGCTTGTTCGTTATTCCTCGTCTTCTATTATCTTTTATATACGAAGAAAATTGTTCCACGTATGGAAAAATTGTACTCCATTAATTTATTATATCGTTAAGCTCGAAGAAATTTATTACCGCTGTATGACGCGAACTGAATAAAATAATAAGCTGCATTGCGTCGTTTATGGTTAACCGATGCATTTAAATTTCCAAATTCCATCGTACGCGTAATGATTAAAAAAAGAAAAAAAAAAAGATTACGCGCAATTAAAATTAAAATGTATGTATATAGTGTATAACCGATGTGTAAACTTGGGCCATTTCGCGCGTGTAACAACGTTATTCGGATAATGGAGATATCGGGTTTGTGCCGTTAATACGGATATATCCGAGATATTTGGATAATATAAGTGGGATCGTACCGATTCGGCCACCGATACGCGAATTATCGGAGAAGTGGCGCGCCTCGGCCGGCTACCGTTGCTCCCCCCACTCGAGTATTTTCTTCGTTATTAACATCGTACGCGGCAAGTTTCAAGTTGTAACAGAACGGAAGAGGAAGCGCCCCACCGCAGATTACCGTCCGATTCTCGAGTGGCTCGCAACTATCCCTGAAACGAAAGGATCGCTCCTCGCTTGCCACCGTTCGATGTCTCGCCATGCAAAATTCGTGATCCGATCGAAAAATGACCCTTGTAAAAATCCCCAAAACCTCCTTCAAAATTACCAAAATTAATAATTCGAATATCGAATCCACGTCGCGTCGATCGATAATTCATCTCGCCATTGGCCGTTGTTAATTACCTTAAAGGAAGATATATATATATATCCACGAGCACGCATCAAAGCACCGTCCAAAAGGCAAAACGCTTTCGAAACGACGATGGCCATACCCTCGAGGACCTTTGACTCGATCGAAGGAAGCGAGAGAGAGAGAGAGGGGGGGACGAAGGATGGAGGAGAGAATTCGGGTTGCGATCTGATGGTCGCGGAGGGTGATCCGCGCTTGCAGCCGGAGGGGTTGGCAAGGATTCATTCACGTATATCGGGGCCGTGGCTCATTGTCGGGACAAAGCAAGCGTCGGGGATGTGAAGTGCTGTCAGAAGCAGCGCACTCCATCGCGCGACACAAATGGCAACCAAAAGTGGAGCTGACGGAAAACGAGAGCCGACGCGGCCCAGAAAGGGGACGAATTATTCTCCCTTTCGCGCCGACCATTTTCGAATTTCCAGGGAAAAAGTTCTCGATACGAGACGGGACTTGCTCACTTCGAGCCAGGGGATTTCGAGCTTTCGCAATTTTTCGATGGATCGACCATAGGATCGGTGTTTGATGATTCATTATGGTAAAGTTGTTTCAGGGATAATTTATGAAATATATAATATATGAAATTTTTGTATAAAAATAATTTCTCGGTCAATTCTTCGAGGATCAAATTATTTCATTTCCCTTAAATTCGATAAGGGATTGAAAATAATCATGGCGGAATATCAACGATATTATAAATAAATTTATATAAGGTGAATATGTCCGAATCTTTGAAAGTTTGATTTTAGTAGTCATAGAATTAATCGATATATTATCGATATACACAAATTTTGCCTGTCTTCTGCCTCATCCAACGTAAACTCAAACTGCTTATAATTTTACAACTGAACCATTGCCTATCACAAATAAATTCTCTGATTAAAATTTAAAAATAAGCAAAATTAATTTCTAACCAAGAATGAGGAAAAAACGAGACTGAGAAAAAAAGTAGTCTCGACGATTAGATATCTACATCCAACATTGAATTGATAATAAGTTAAGAATCAACGAAGACAAAAGACACTCGAAATCCTGTTCACATCAATTTCATCGACTTTCCATAAAGTGTTTCGCTAAACTCCTCCCTTTGTCTCCCAAATTCTTCACCCACCGTTTCTCAAAACGTCCGTTTTAATCACAGGATTCTAGCATGCGGAGTAACTCGATCGTCAGAATGTTTGAGAAGGGTCATCGTCGGTGGCGAAGAATTAAGCGTAACAAGGTTATCACGAGTCGGCGATGCACTTCTCGACTCGTGTTCTCTCGTGGCCGACGAGTCCACGGGATAATTAGAAAAGTGGAAGAGGCAGGGATTCGCGGATGCGCGACTGGCTCTCGTGTAATTGCTTCCAACTAAGAACTCGCCTTTATTACGGCGGATATCAGGGATAGAGCTTGATTCAACCTGTCGCGAGAAGATCTGTTAACCTATATCCCTGGCCGGCCATTGTTTGCTCGTGAAACCGGAAGTCGCAACGTGTACACCGTTCATCACCTATGACAAAGGGTTTTTGCGTATAATAAGTGATTTCGTGTTTGTTCTGTGTGTAGAATAACGTAGCGAGGGGGAATTTTCTTTTTCCTTTCTCGTGGCATCGATCACAAAGATTTCGAGCGATCTGTAAATAAAAAGCGTGTATTTCACGGGTGATAAACGTATTCTATTATTTTTCCTTCGATAAAAAAAATTTCTAACCTAATAAATTCGTGATAATTTTTACTCTCCGTTGAAAATATCGAATAAAACGTTCTCCTCTAAAAACTTCTTCTTTTTTCTTTTTTTTTTTTTTTCGTTACGAGTACTTCAAGCTGAAACAGGATAAATAAATGTTGTGAAAGCTGGAAGAAACTCTGTAAACCGAAGGGAGACGGATAGAGTTTTCATAATAAACTATGAGCCCTCTTTACACTCGAATAATTATGGAAACTGATGTAACGTAAGAACAACAGCAACGTAAAATGAGTTTGTTGAACAAACGTTTTTTATTCCGTCGCTTCGCAGCTATAGAATTCCCGAATTACGAATCCCTCGTCGATCGTATCCTTTCTTCTTTTCTTTTTAAACCAGAGTAATTATTTCTTCCCTCTCCTCTGGAGAAATGGCGAGCTTGAAAAATATCCTTGGATACGGAAGAGTTGACTCGAATTTCATTTAGTCGATCCGTTAATTCGCACTTGTTGCCCGATATTTCTCAATCGAGTTAACGCAACGTGGACTGTACTCAATTCTGCCATTCTGGGAATTAATAACGCCCTCTGGAAATTTGAAACGAACGAATAGTCGAAACCCTATCTTCTCGTACGATAAAAATATTTTTCGTTAGTTATCTAGAATTGGGACGGATTAAACTGACTCTTGGACCTTATAAATTTCCAAGAATTCATGTTTTAATCGTTATTTTCGAAAAAATATATTTTGTTTAAAGAAAGTGTTGAGGAGAGTTTCGAAACGAAATTTGAATGCATCCCCTTCGAAAGTATGCGCACGGATAGATTCGCGTCGTTTCGAAACGTTTTGAAGGGAAGGAAGGAAGGATAAGAGGAAAGGATAAGGATAAGGGTTGGCGAAGGGAAACGAATTGCATCGTTGAAGAAACGCTAATGATATTAAATGCTTTCGTTAACGATCCTCGTGAACGGGCCTCGTATAATACATACCCGGTTGATAGAATTTTAGATCGCGGTGCCCTCCATGTAGATACGCCATGTGTATACGGCTGATGGTATCGATCTGATTAAACCATTTGGTACGAAAAGAAGATCGATCTCCCATCTCTCCGTTGCTCGTATTCCGATATTGATGAAGGTAAGAAGGAAGAGTTCTCCGTGTTGTGATTAAAATATATATAAATAACTTTATTGTTTATAATAAAATGCCCTATCTATTTTACAAATATACAAAACTCTTCGCTATTTACATTAAATCTCACCTTTCTTCGACGAGAAACAAGAGAACGCTCATCGAAAAATTGGAGGATACACCCCCTCGTATTTCACATGCTTATATTTATATATTTATATTCATATTTATATTTATATTTATATTTATATTTATATTTATATATATATAATCTCTCGCATTCTTAATAATCAATCATTGGAATAAGTAAACTAGTCGAATTCGAATAGAAAGAGAAAAAACTTCGTTGCAATTACGATTTAATAAAGGGTATGTATGTTCGGTGTATATGTGAATGTATTTATGCACGTGTTTTTTGTGTTTTTTTCGTCACGCTTCTTCCTTTGCCCCTCCTCGTCTTCCTTCGTTTGCCTTCGTTTTATCAATTCTTTTTCCACTGTTTTTACATTTCTTGCTCGTTTTTTTTTTTTTTTCTATTATCCCGTATTTTAATTCGTCGTTTTCATTGTTTTCTTTACTCGTTTTATAATTTATTTCCGTTCTTTGCCTTTGTCTTTCTCTTTTTCTTCATGGTTTCATTTTCGCATTCTTGTTTTTTTCTTATTTCTTTTTTTTTTTTTTTTTTTTTTTTAATCTTTATTTCGTTCGCCCTAATTTACATTTGCACACTACGAAGCTATCACGAGTCTCAAAAATACGAATAAAACCTTTTAGGTGCGGAACACCGTACGTTACGGAGTACAATTGCGAGTAGTAAGAAATACTTCTTGATAATAAGTAGAGAGAAACGTCGCGACAGTCGGGAAACCTGGAACAGAAAAATGGAGAACGGTCGATTAGAAGGCGCATCGGCGTGCACGGTTCTCCATTATGCTTCTCTCCTTTACTTTTGCCCCACGCCACCGTTACCGTTAAGGCTTGAGAAGAAACTGTATCTCTGAACGATTGTTGCTACAGCGCAATTTGAAATAACGGTGACTCTCGCGTTGCTCCTGCTCCGTTTCCGCTACGATTCAGAGAGATCCTCTGTGAAAAAGCGGTGCAGGTTTTTTTTCTTCTTTTTTTTTTTTTTTTTTTTTTGTTTAAAACCGAGATAAATATAGGAAATGATACGTACAATCTACAGTTTATAGATACACAAAGGATATTCCGAGCTTTCACGAATATAACGTAACTTTAATGCGAATGAAAATGTGCTATTTATTTTTTTTAGAGATGTTTCCATTCGAGTTGATTAATCCTTTTTTTCCATCTCAGCTATTTGGTAATTCAAAAGCAACGTTCATCGAACGAGGATGAATTAAACTTTCGAAATTAACGTAGAGATTTGAAAAGATTTGAAAAGAAATTTATCCCAAGATATGGAGAATTATATACGTGTATATAACACAGATAGAATTTTAGAAAATTGAGAAAAATTGCAGAACGTAATTCTTCTTCTGACTCGAATATTTCGTCTCAAGCCGAGAATAATCCTCTCGTTAAAGGAAATCGCAAAAATCGAATTCGATTCGATTACGGTTCGTGAAAGTAGATGCAAAATGGAGAGAAGTTTGAAAAAAAGAAAAAAAAGTATATTTGAAAACGTGGAAACGATCACTCACCTTGCCCACTGCGATTTCCAATTACTTCATACGTAATGCGAATCGATAATACTTCTGGCAACAGTTCACATCTGAAACAGAAAGAAGAAGGGAAACGCCGGGTTACACCGCCTATAAATCACGTGGACGTCGACGACGCTCTCCACGCCGGGACAAATTCCCCGGCGAGCGTATTTTCAGGAAATAAAACCGGGAACACCGGTGGTCACCGTGGAGACACGACAATTTGTACGTGTATCCACGGCCCGTGTATGCACTCGATTGTTTCTTGGACCGTCGAGGGTGGAACAGACGTGTACCCCTCCTCCCTTTTCCCCTCGAAAAAAGAAGAACCCGCGCGTAGGTCGAATTTCATTTTTCACATTCGCGTCGAACTCGCGTTCTAACTGTCTATAAAGTTTTGTCGTTACAATTTTTCGCGACTCGTAAAAGTATTTGAAGTTGTTTCTTCTATTTTTCTCCTGCGAAAATGGCGATGAACAATTTTTTTTTTTTCACTTGTAACGAAACTTTATGGCAACGTACAGGATAGGATGAATTATATGCGAAGCATTCTTTTCCTTCTTTTTTTTTTTTTTTTAACAAAATATCATTCCATTAGGGAAATGAAATTAGCACGTTAATAAGTTTCAGGATGTTTGTAAATGGTGCAAAATTTTGCGTTGGGGAAGAGCAATTTTAAATTTAAATCGATCGATCGTGCAGTATTAACATTTTAAATTGTAAATTATAAACGGTAATTTCGATATATTTTTCGTCGTAAAAGAATTTTACGGGGAAAATTGTATCGAAAACATAAAAAAAAAAAAAAAAAAAACATTGAAGAGATTTCGTTTTTTCATCGAGAATAAAATCCCTCCTCCTAATATTAACTTATTCTATGTATAATACTTTACAGACACAAAAACTGTAACTAAAATCGAAATTTTCGAAAATAGATAAATTTCCTTTGTTCAAATATCTTTTGGAGAGCCATTATAAAGTAAAATATCGGGGAAAATTCAATTGCCATTCACTTCGACTCGTTATCAATGGGAAGGAATAAAACGAATCGCGCGAAAAGGATTAAATTTTGTGTTTTTGCAAAATCATTGACGAATCGAAGACTCTGAATTTAACAGGTTTATCGGATTATTGGTTAAATCCTTCTGTTATTAGCGAGAAAAGTAAACAGACCGTTCTGCGAATCCGTATACTTGAAGCATTGCAGTTTCGATTTCAACCGTTACGCGTTCGAGCCGGCCCCTGAATGGAGGGATTAAGTGACCAGTCCCCTCCCCCGACCATTTCAATTCGCGCGACAGCCTTTTCAAACCTGTGCTGTAAATAATGAAAATTGTAAATGGCACGCTACGCGCTCCAAAGAAGAGTTTTTCCGCAACGTCGAATATCCGAATATCGAATCGAATGATACGCAATTCCTGAAGTTCGTACAATGGAACTTTGATTGACTCTTGTCTCTCGCTTAAAAATATTCAAAAATCTCTCGGCTAATAGATAAAACGAATTCTCGTCGATTCTCCTCTTCATCAGATCCGTCCGATCTGATCGAAACGAGGTCGCAAAAATATATTTCGAATTCCAGAAAATCGATATTCGATTCGTTTGTCAAGTGCAAACAACTTGGAAGATCCTTTATCACCAGATCTTGTCGAGGCGCCCCCTCATTATTACCAACAATTTCATCGAGAGTAAACTCTCGACGCAAAGGAACCATCGGCGCAAAGTATCGAAGGCTAAATGAAAAAGGAAGACGAGGAATGATCGAAAAAAAAAAAGAAAGGAAAAAAGGAAGAAGAAAAACGGAAGAGAGAGACGATGGAGAGAAAGTCAGCTCTCGATCCTGTTCCCGGCTCGACAGAGACGCCGATTTAATTGAACCGGGTCGGAAAATTAATAATGGCCCGACCATCCCTTTTGTTTCCCGCGCCCGCCGCGTGGAACAGAAGAAGCGACCGTTTGTAAAATTATTCCAATAAACGGGGATCAGTTGGGATTTTCGTCAGGAATGGGCGCGAGTGCAATTACACCCGTACGAGCAAGTGACGCGGAATCGATTTAAAGGGATGAAAAAAAAATATATATATATATATACATATATAAAAGAACGACGAGGATCGTTCGAATCGAAGAAGAAGTCAAACTGGAGGAATGTATATGTAACGCGAAACGGGATGTGAAAACGGGATGGTTGTTCGTCATTGTTTGATCGTAGTTGGAATGTCGCGTTCCCACAATAGATGATACATAATTTCGGTTGATGGCGCCGATTTGTAGGTAATTGTGAATGTTCGTGGAACCAAGTGGCCACGATTATCTATTATATATTAACAATCAGACGTAACCACGACGATTAATTCGCGAATAGGTATGATTTTGTGCTCGCTCTATTCATTTTTTCAATGGAATGAAAAAACATCGAAGAAGCGTGACAGTATAAATAACAAGATAATGTTCATTATTATTCATCTCGAGTTTCGTTCCGATTTGCCAGTCCAGAATTTTCGAATTCACGATCATTTATCAATTGCGATCCAGTCCTTCCTAATACATCGTTTCGTTTCGTTTCGTTTCGAGTGTTACGGGTATTGGACATTACATTGGCCATCGTTGGGTATTTTTTTTTTTTTTTTTTTTTTTGCTAAAGTGATGTACGACACCAATTTTTATATACATATAACGATTTTTGATAGTTATCACGATAGTGAATCGTGATAGAGGATTTTATGGTGATGTATATGATACGATCGCGTATGTATAATGCGTATATATTTCCAGATCGAAAACACACAGCTCGATACGTTGCTGCCATTTTCAGATTTCGAGCACATGTCCCGTTGAATCCCAGGACACTCTGTGAATTCGAAAAGGTCGTTCCCATTCCGACCTTTCTTTACAATACTCTCCGTTTCTTTTTTTTTTTTTTTTTTTTTTTTTTACGATTATTCCTCTTCTTCCAATATTCCTCCTAATATTACTTTTTTTATCGGATTTGGAATTTCTATGAATTCCTATATATTGTCTTGAGTTTTTATAATAGGAATTTTTTTTTTTTCCCATAAGTTTATCCTCGATTTCTTCTCCCTCCCCCATCTCCCTTCTCTTTTTTTTTTTCGATGCAACGTTCTCCGATATTAAAGGGAACATTAATAATTAATAAACGAACGACGAGTAACAAAATTTCACGCGCAACGATTAATTATCAACGAAACGGTCGGATATATTATAATAAAGCCACTTTAAAACCAGACGTTTCACCACGATCCAGTTCATTAGCATTTGCAACAACATGTGTATACGTTTAATCGAAATTGTGCGTGGACGAGATAAACGCGATCGATGCAAAATTTGATTCCGTGTCGGAAACATCGCACGACCCGAGTTTCCATCCGATCGTTGATTTTTCGTTTTCGTCATCGAACTTCCGCCGTGACTTTCCGCGACTGTGGGTCGTCGATGGTGGAAAGTAGTTTAAAGGAGAACGAACTGGGTAACGAGACGGGAATCTGCGTTTGACGAGTGAAACTACGATATTTTTTATCTTCGAGGCATAATTTGAAAATAATTATCAGAAAATCTTTATCACGCTAGGTTTTCGCCAACATTTTGCAAACCACGTTTATTATCACGTTTGTTACCAAAGGAATTTTTTTCAATTTTCAATTTAAAATCTTCGATATATTATTGATTGAATATATGCAATAATTCTTGGATCGTATACCTTATTAAATGCTCTCGCCACTTTGAGTCGTGTCTTGATACAAGCGATAATCGATTGTGATTATCAGGAGGAAAAGAGAAATTTCTTCAATGATTTTTTCCTCGAGTCTTCTCCTCCTCGTTTTATATGAAAATTCCAAGCTCCAATACAAGGCAATTGATTTTTCCTCTGATGCATAGCAATATAATTTACGTTCTATTCCAACACATTTTCCAGCTTATATAGCTTAAGTGTATTTATTTCCCAATTTGTATATCATCGAAACCTCGAGCGAGTGTACACCTCTCTAAACCGGTATGCACTTGAATTTTTCACATGGTTGTTTCAATTTCTATCCAGGTTATCCGAGATAAAGTCGTCTTAATACCTTGGTGATCACGTTTAAACCGTAATATCCTTTTTCCGATCGCGGGGACGATATCTATCTCTCCCCGCTCGAACGGCTCTCGTCGTGCAACATCGGTGATCCTCGTTGTGTGTGTGACCACGCGCACAGACACGAGCGCGCACGAACACACACACACACATTCACGTGATCATTTTTCGTATCGATAAAAGGAATCCTCGCGTGATGCCGCTACTCCTCCTCGTTAACGAACCGATATTAATAACGCGACGAAAAGGCGGAGAGGAAGGAGGGGGGAGGGAAGGAGAGGGAAGGAGAGGGAAGGAGAGTGGACGCGGGCGAAGCAATTTACACGATCGAATTAATCTCCTTCCCAACTCTTTCGTCTATCTATGACGGCCGGTTTTTCGCTTCCCGGAAGCTCGAAATTCAGGCCAAGGAGGAAGAGGGGAGGAGGAAGAGGAGGAGGAGGGCGCGGGGGGTGTTTGCCGCGGAAAAGAAAGTAATATCATTCAAAAGCGGCGGAAGTTATTCCCCGATGCGAAAGTTTCCCCATTTTACATTACGGGGGAACGGTCTGCGGAGAGAGATGTTAGTCGCTGTAGTGAAGAACTTCATCTCGGCGATAACTTTTCCAATTATTATCAGATGGCAAATGGACAGTCTTTGTGTTTCTCGCGGGCGGACCTTCCCCCCTCGCGGCCCGGAAGGGGAAGGTCCGCCTTCGCCCCAACTTCAAGAAGTCTCGAGAGGAGAGCGAGGGGGAGAGAGGGACTTGAGAGCACAATACCGGGCCGATGATAAACCTTCCAGCGGGAAATCTATTTTTGATCGAAACGCTCCGTGTTTTCCAACCACTTGCACGCGCTCACTCCGAGGACAAGGATTTCGAACGTCGAGTGGGAGAAGGGGACGGAAGTGGAGGAAACACTCCAACGATCGCATTAATCTTTTTCTTCCTTCCTTCCTTCCTTTTCCTTTCTTCTCCTTCCTTCCTTTCTTTC